AATTAAATTATTTTGTAGTTTCTTTTTTGTATCCTGGGAGTAAGTAGAAACCTAAAATGTCCAGAGGACACTCTTTTAAACAGTAAGCCAACAACTACAGTCATTTCTAAACTGGCCAACTAACATTAAAATCGACATCATGTCGAAAATCATTAATCTTGTCCAAGACAAATGTTGACTTTATTTAATGCAACATAACGTTAAAAATAAAACGGGCGACGTCAGTAGAACTAGAAGATCTCTAGATGACGTCCCCTCGAGGGGACAAAAACTGTGCAGGCACCTTCCAACATTCCAGCGACCCCCTCCGTATCTCGCCTAACCTGTACTTGTCCAACATTGGGCGTGCCTCCGGCGCGTACCATGCCAGCTGTCGGGGACAGATGATGCTTGATCCGGCGGGGCTTCCCCTGTCAATTTGGCACCTAGTTTCACTTCAAGACACAGAACTTTGTAAGACAAAGTTCTACTTTATTGAACGTAACATAATGTTAAGAATAAAATGTCTGACGTCAAGATAAGTAGAAAGGTCTCTATATGACGCCTTTTTTGGGTGTAAGACGTACGTTTGGAGGTGCCTGAAGGGTCTTTACCCGACGTTATTTTGGGCGTAACGGGTTTTGGAAATCATCTCTTTACCTGCGCTAACTCCATTCGATATTCCAATGGCCCTCTTCTGTATCCCGACAGCCTTGTACAAAGTTGGACGTGCGTCCGGCGCGCGCCATGCTGTTGGATGGGTGGGGTCAGGCCCTGCGTGTTTCGGCGGGGCTTCCCCTGCCAGGTCAAGGCTGGGTGGCACATGGGTTAAACATATTTTGAGTTTGCATTTTTATAACATCGAATGTTTAAAGACAGTCTCTTGCATGGACTTGTGTATAGGGACGCATTCTTGTGAAAGGCAACTGACTATTAGAGGTTAATTAACAAGAATGAATGAATCGTAATCGAAACTGTATCTGTATGTTTTTTGTGGTGGACCAGGTGTTGGGTGGACATGAACTGTGAAAAAGGCGCGCTAATCTTTCGTTCAAGTTAAGTTCGACTCCTATTTGTTTTGAAAAGGTTTTCTTTGTTTCGACCAGCCTAGAGAACTATGCAGTGTCTTTCGGGCCAGTGTAAGTACCTGTTTGTATTGATGATCTCAGTTACAAGCGCCAAACCTGTGCACGTTTTTTTTTTCACGTGAACCCTCTGGCGACCAACAAGTAATCACCTGGAAGCGCTAGGCGGTTGACGGTGAGCAGTAAGTCGTTATAAGGTCTGGGCGCATTAACGCAGTCATGCAATAAGCGCAACACGACCGACGTGTCATCAGTGGGCAATTATGTGTCATTTCAGTTGGTCCTTTGTTTGTAAAGGTTGCGCTGAGGATCCCAAAGTTTACATTTTGACCCAAGTAACCTTTTGATTATTTATGGGCTATTTACTTAACATGATATGTATCTCCGAGAGATGTTAACAAATGACACAAACCATTTTTTTGTGAAAAAAGTGGCATTTTTACTTTCGTTTGTTTATTTAAGGTTGCAATAGTGCAATGAGTGTGGACACCGAGGCCACATGAAGAAGCCCAATGGAAACTATGTAATCACTATTACCCCTATATTGTGTCAGTTACATGTACCTGATCATGAACAGTGTAAGTTAACTATGTTTTTTTAACGCAGGATGGAGTGGGATGTCGACGGCTCAGGGTACGTTTCCTCTTCATTAAGGCTTTCCTAGCATTGACTGTTAAATTATGCAAATGAGGTTCTGATTTGAATAACCTTAGAATTTGAATGTTTAATGTTGTTCATCTTCACTTACCCTCTAAATGCCACAAGTTTGAAATTCCCAGTGGTTCCCATTACAAAATCACAGCAGAATCACAGCATTTTCTCATCAACTATACAAATTAGTTCTACAGTTAAACATGTCCATGTCCCTCTTATTTTATTTACATATTACATATTCACTTCAATTACATAAATTTTAATAGTCCTATCATGGACTGCAGCAGATTTATGTATTTATGCAAGTTAGATCCTGATCCTCACACACACACACACACACACACACACACACACACACACACACACACACACATACATACATACAGACACACACACACACACACACGCACACAGACGAACACTACAGAAAACATAACATTCTTGGCAAAGGTAATGCCTTTTATCGGAAGGGAAATCCCGTACTTCATTGCATACAGTTTTGGGGAGTAAATAGTCAGATCGAAGTTTGCCTCCAAACTCTCCGTCATTTTGTTATTTTCGAGTTCAGTGTTTACTTGAAAATATCTGCGGAGGAACTTATCGTAAGGAGGAAAAGAGATTGATGTGGTCTAAACAAGTTGTATGATGTCTTACAAACTTTGCAGTTCCACCGTGCTATTGGGAAGGCACAGCTCCCTTCTGCGACCCTGGAGACTGCGACAGGGGTATCCAAGCTCAGAGCAACGATTGTGGAGACGGGGACTGCTGCTGGTCAGGCCACAAGATACAATGTTGTGATAGTAAGTTTTGTTCCCAATACAATACAATAATATTCACCCAAATCAAATGAGTGATTTAGAAAAATTATGATGAAAGGTCTTATTTCATCAAGCAAGGTTGCATCAGTGTGAATACTGTTGAAACCAATGTAACGTAATTACAGAACATCAGGTCTCAGTTTTCTGTCTAAGATAGGAGTGTTTTCTAGTGGCCAGATATTGACAATCGTATTTCCGTATGCAGAAAAAAGACGCTCAACAGAGCTCGAGGTCTTTCACATTTTAGCAAATTCTTACTGAGGTCCAGTTCCCCTGTGCAGGAATGCCTCACTATAGGTCAGTCTGTACTTTTTAGCTTAAAAAACGACGAACAAAGTAACGTTGTTAAACGGGATGCAGGGTCTGTTGTATACAGGTAGGTAAAATGTTTTCCTGAGTCCAGATTGATGTCACATCTTCCTCATGGTGTTTTCCTGTGCACCAGTGGCCAATTAATTATCCAAGTTTCCTCATGTAGACATAAACGAGTGCGAGACCAACAATGGCGGCTGTGAGCAGATCTGTGCCAACACTATCGGAGGTTTCGAGTGCTCCTGTAGGGACGGCTTTCTCCTCGCTGATGACGGCTTGACCTGTGCCGGTAAGAAAATATCATTGCCACAGAAAGATATGCATCTTCTATAGTGCTGTATCTACTTCATGCATTAAAGATTTTTTTCATCTATTATCTGAACATTGAATAGGCCAATGATACGATGTAAGAACTACAATTCAAAAGGACCTGCTCAACAGTTGACAGTCTTCCACCGGAATTTTCCCTTGTGTTAGAGCCGGGGTGCATGGGTGGCTTCCTGAGTTCTATTACAACTCTTAACCTTTCAGTCTTGTTTGAGACAAGCATGGAATAAAGTAAAACACTAACTTAACTTAATCTTCTTCGCTCTCCATGAAGCAGAAGGCACCGGTAAACTTCCCCCAGCCACTCCGGTCCTGGGCTACCCATCCAATCTACAGCCAGGTCTTTTAGGCTGCTTACATTTCCACTCCCACAGTCCTTCTCCATGTCCCCAGGGGGCGGCCTCTCTTACGCTTCCCTTGGGGAGTCCATCTGAGGGCAACATACGGATGTCTGTTCTTGCTCATTCGTAGGATGTGCCCTAGCCATTTCCAACGTTGGTTCTTTTACAGCTTAACCTTTCAGTCTTGTTTCAGGAAAGCGTGAAATAAAGTAAAACAAGGCAGGCAATAAGATTTATTGCCATGGCGACAATTGAATATTCATTGCATGTGATGTTTATCTAAAAACTATGTACGGTATCACATTCCTTTTTATTTTATGTTGCGAAACCAACGGATTCTTTTGTTTTTAGAGCACATGGGTACCGCCCGACCCAATTTTGTTCTGTTTAATATAGAGCTCAGGGGTACTGTTTGATTCAATGTTGATGTGTTTGTTGTAGTTGTCAACAGTAACACCTGACAAAACAGTGTTCAGGGGACAAACAGATGTTCACTACTGGACATTCATAGAAAGTAACAGACATATTTGTGAAATATTAAGTATTCCTAAAGACATATAATTATACTATCAGGATCGCTCCTAAATTGTCGCCAAAATATTAAGACGTGACAAGAGCGCAGACGTGTCTTTGGGTTCGAGATAGAATGGGTGTTTTCCAGCAGCAAGACTGATAGTGACCCTTTTTTGATACTGAAAGCTCCTGTAGGGACAATTTCCTCCTAGCAGATGACGGCTTGTCCTGTAACAGTAAGAATTTCTCGTTGATCAGTGTTGTTAAACAAAAAGTGGTGTTGACTGACTGCTGACTGTATTTTGTGCATTGAACAAAGCATCTGTGAGCTCGAAAGATCATGCAAAATAAACAGAAGCTAATAAAAACCACAGCAGCGTCATATATGACCTGCGAGTAATTAAGTTTCATTTACGGTCAATTGTATTTAAAAGGTATCCCTGAGAGACAAAAAAGTCTCTCCGTTTACGCATTCAATATTCTGATGCCAGGCTAATAACAATACCTACATTTTGATGTAGGTAATGACATAATGTGGTCCAAACGAGTGGTAATAATGTATGTACATTGCAGCCGCGGTATGCCATTGGGAAGGCACAGCTCCCTTCTGCGACCCGGGTGACTGCGACAGTGGTACCTACGTTCGGAGTGACAATTGTGGAGACGGTGAATGTTGCGTGACAGGCCACAAGATATACTGCTGTATCGCCGGTAAGGTGTAGTGCCCTGTGCACTATGAAAGTATCCGCGAGAAATCTCAAATCTGCACCAACACCATCGAAAGTTTTGAGTTCCCTTGCATGATTAACTTCCTACTCGCTGGCTTTGGCTGCTCTGATAAGAAAATATCATTGACACAAAAATTAACGTATACGTAATAGTGCTACAATTTCACTTTGTGCATCAAATAATTACCCATCGAATAATTACCCATTTAGTGGTAACAAACGAAAAGAAGCCGATCAACAAATGTTTTTACGTTTTATCAAATTCTCACCAAGATCCAGTTCCCCCTGTGGAAGAATGCCTCACTATAACTCCTTACTTTCTAGTTCTTTTCCTTCTTGTTTTTTTTTCAAACGCGGTATATATCATATTATTAAGTAAGGTTGCTCGCGCACTGAGTTGAACCATCCTCCCGAGGCAGGGTCGGTGGCGCGGTATTCTATAAAATACCGCGCCACCGACCCTGCCTCGGGAGGTAAGGTACTCGTATAGAATACCGCGCCACCGACCCTGCCTCGGGAGGTAAGGTATAGAATACCGCGCCACCGACCCTGCCTCGGGAGGATGAGTTGAACCCGGATACAATTTTCACAATTTTAGTAATGCGAATTTTACAAATGACTAAAAGGATTAACAGGCTAAAATCTCTAGTTTAACACATAAATTAATTACATATAAGTACATACTAAAGAAATATACAATTTATATCATTCTTAATACTAAGGTACTATAAGTATAGAGTTTTGACGGATTAGTAGACAGTGTCAATTTCCTCATGCAGACATAAACGAGTGCGAGACCAACAATGGCGGCTGTGAGCAGATCTGTACCAACACCGTCGGGAGTTTCGAGTGCTCCTGTAGGGCCGGGTTTCTCCTCGCTGGTGACGGCTTGACCTGTGCCGGTAAGAAAATATCATTGCCACAGAAAAGATATGTATCTTTAATAGTATTGTGTCTACTTCATGCATCAAAGATTTTTAATCTTTTGCACACACACACACACACACACACACACACACACACACACACACACACGAACGCTACAGAAACCATAACATTCTTGGCAAAGGTAATGACGCCTAAGTCTGATCTAAAAGGAAAGACAGTACCGTACTTCAGTACACACAGTTTTGGGGAGTGGCTATAGCCTGATCGAAGTTTTGCCTACAAACCCTCCGTCATTCTGTTTCTTCGAGTTCAGCGATACTCTAAGATATCTGCGTAAGGAAAAAAAGGAAAATAGATTGATGTGGTCTAAACAACTTATATGAATTTGTTACAAACTTTGCAGTTCCACCGTGCTATTGGGAAGGCACAGCTCCCTTCTGCGATCCTGGAGACTGCGACAGGGGCATCTACGTGCGGAGTGACAATTGTGGAGACGGTGACTGTTGCCTGACGGGCCACAAAATACAATGTTGTGATAGTGAGTCTTTGTTCCCAGTGCAACACAATAATATTCACCCAAAACACATAAGTAATTTTGAAAAATAATGACGAAAGGCCTTCATTGTACATTCATGTTTCCAAATTACGTAAAATCCCAACGTTTACATTTTCATCCATTTGACCTTTTCGATAATTTTGAGACTGCCGTTCGTACTATTTGGGAAGAAATTGATAATCTCCAAGCAGATTCGGTGGGGTAAGGGGACTTTATGTTAGCCGCCTGTATCCATTGGCCGCCACTATCCAACGTTCAACGTTCGGCTTACAGATGAAGGAATGTCAGTCGTCAAGGAATGACCTCCTATGGTGTTATCTCGAAACAGTATAATTGTTTGTTTTTGCTGTAAAATGATTCCCTGTTCTGCATTTATTTCATCACGCAAGGTTGCATCGGTGTGACTGTGAATACTGTTGAAACCCATATAACCATTAAATAGTGTGCCAGATGAGGCAAGTAAAGCATCCTAAAGAACGGGGTATATCAGTTTTCTGTCTTAAGATAGACGCCAGAATGTTTTCTAGCTTGTGGCCAGATATTGACAATCGAATTTCCGTATAATCAGATATCTTTCACATTTTAGCAAATTCTTACTAAAGTCCAGTTCCCTTGTTGATAAATGCCTCAGTCTCTTCTTTTTAGCTTTTTTTGGTACAAATGCCGAACAAAGTAACGTTGTTCAACGGGATACAGGGTCTGTTGTATACAGGTAGGTAGAGTGTTTTCTGAGTCCAGATTGACAGCCACGTGTCACATCTTCCTCATATGCAGACATAAACGAGTGCGAGACCAACAATGGCGGCTGTGAGCAGATCTGTACCAACACCGTCGGAAGTTTCGAGTGCTCCTGTAGGGACAATTTCCTCCTAGCAGATGACGGCTTGTCCTGTAACAGTAAGAATTTCTCGTTGATCAGTGTTGTTAAACAAAAAGTGGTGTTGACTGACTGCTGACTGTATTTTGTGCATTGAACAAAGCATCTGTGAGCTCGAAAGATCATGCAAAATAAACAGAAGCTAATAAAAACCACAGCAGCGTGGTGCGAGTAATTAAGTTTCATTTACGGTCAATTGTATTTAAAAGGTATCCCTGAGAGACAAAAAAGTCTCTCCGTTTACGCATTCAATATTCTGATGCCAGGCTAATAACAATACCTACATTTTGATGTAGGTAATGACATAATGTGGTCCAAACGAGTGGTAATAATGTATGTACATTGCAGCCGCGGTATGCCATTGGGAAGGTACAGCTCCCTTCTGCGACCCGGGTGACTGCGACAGTGGTACCTACGTTCGGAGTGACAATTGTGGAGACGGTGAATGTTGCGTGACAGGCCACAAGATATACTGCTGTATCGCCGGTAAGGTGTAGTGCCCTGTGCACTATGAAAGTATCCGCGAGATATCTCAAATCTGCACCAACACCATCGAAAGTTTTGAGTTCCCTTGCATGATTAACTTCCTACTCGCTGGCTTTGGCTGCTCTGATAAGGAAATATCATTGCCACAAAATTAACGTATACGTATTAGTGCTACAATTTCACTTTGTGCATCGAATAATTACCCATTGACTATTTGAACATCGAAAAGTTTAGTGGTAACAAACGAAAAGAAGCCGCTCAACAAATGTTTTTACGTTTTATCAAATTCTCACCAAGATCCAGTTCCCCCTGTGGAAGAATACCTCACTATAACTCCTTACTTTCTAGTTGTTTTCCTTCTTGATTTTTTTTTTTACAAACGCGGTATATATCATATTATTAAGTAAGGTTGCTCGCGCACAGAGTTGAACCATCCTCCCGAGGCAGGGTCGGTGGCGCGGTATTGTATACCTTACCTGGTAAGGTATAGAATACCTTACCCGGATACAATTTTCACAATTTTAGTAATGCGAATTTTGCGAATGACTAAAAGGATTAACAGGCTAAAATCTCTAGTTTAACACATAAATTGATTACATATAAGTACATACTAAAGAAATATACAAATTATATCATTCTTAATACTAAGGTACGTTTTTAGTATTTTACCTTGGTTAAACGCCCTTCATTCTGGTATTTGGTATTGTTGTAGCTCTAGTCTTTTCCTGTATGATAAAAACAAACAAACAAACAATCCAGATTGACAGTCACATTTTCCTCATGCAGACATTGACGAGTGCGAGACCAACAATGGCGGCTGTGAGCAGATCTGTACCAACACCGTCGGGAGTTTCGAGTGCTCCTGTAGGGACAATTTCCTCCTAGCAGATGACGGCTTGTCCTGTAACAGTAAGAATTTCTCGTTGATCAGTGTTGTTACCTCCATGACATGTCATGGAGGTTATATTCTCAGTCGCGTTTATCTGTCCGTCTGTCTGTCTGTTGGTCAATAAGATAACTCAAGAACGCCTGGATGGATTGGTTTCAGTCTTGGTGCTTTGGTAGGGTGTGACGAAAACTGAAAATGATTAGATTTTGGGCCCCCTAGTGGCTTCCCTTGGTACTTGCAACTTCCGGTTTTGATATCTCGCGATCTCATAGAATGTCTACATTAATTATGCAAATTAGGTGTTAATTTGTCTATGCTAATGTGTTACTAGCCGCAGATTACATACCTTACATGTACCAAATTCCTACTATGTACAATAAAGCAATTTTGAATTTCCACATTAATTGTGCAAATTAAATCCTCGTTTACACAATGCATATGTTATTGTGTACATGATAATGATGATAATGACTTTCTTAGCAAAAGCAGACTTACGTTGTTGAGTCTGAAGTATCATGCTAATTTACAGACAGCATTTACATTCAGATTTACATTCAGACATTCTGACCTTGACCATTGTCTTCCTAAGAAATACCAACATATCAACTATAACCACGACCCATAAGCTGACCACAAGTATGCGGAAACACACGCAAACACGCGCACACACACACACACACACACACACACACACACTCAGACAGACCGGGAGAGGTTAAAATTCACGTGGTCAAACTGAGTGAAATAATGTATGTACATTGCAGTTGCTGGGTGCTATTGGGAAGGTACAGCTCCCTTCTGCGATCCTGGAGACTGCGATTGGGGCACCTACGTTCGGAGTGACAATTGTGGAGACGGGGAATGTTGCAGTACGGGTCATAAGATATACTGCTGTAATGATGGTAAGTCTAAAGCAACAATAGAGAAAAATTAGTAAAACTACGCCAGGTGGTATTAGGAAAAGAGACAGAACTAGAGGTTTGTTATTACCGCTATGAAAAATAGAGGTACTGATTTTGGCCTGGTCGCTAAGCAAACCAAATATGTATAACATACAGAAGATAATAGCGTAAATTTCTTACTGTGTATTTTATCTGTGTATATTATTTTTTCTCCATTCGTCACTAATTTACCTCTGACAGATGACCACGGCATATACCCATGTGTTGCCATCAGTTGGGGCCTGGGCTTAACCTGATAATATACCTTTTTCGCTATTTCGCAGAAAACTACACTAGGTACCTATGGCCCAAACACCTATTTCCAACCAAAACTCGTGACCATAGCATGTCCACAACACGATATACCGCTTATAGCCGGTTTAAAAAATCGCCAGCACCTATATATGGTGTAACGAACACATACTCGGCGAAGGTAACAGAAAAGAGGGAACAAGAATAAGAGCATTATGTTCTTCAAAATGTAATTCTGAAGATTGTGTTGTGCAGACATTTATTAGCTCATTTATGATAAAAAAGGATACCAGCGTCATATGAGGCTCAAGTAATTATATGTCATTTACGGTCCTTTGTTTTAAATGTATCGCTAATTAAGCTCAAAGCTTTTCTTTTGCTTATCAACGTAATATTCTTAAGTTTTATTCTATACCTATCTATTTTACTATGCTACTTATTGTTACCTATTTGCCATACAATGTACCCTGTTCAATTGTCGTGCAATAAAGTTCTTCACAATATCAACATAAGGCAAGGGTCTGATGTTCAGGAAAGTCTGTACCTTGGTACACTCAGTTTAAAATCAAATTTTGCCTCCAAACCTTATGGAATCCCACAGTCAGTGATTCTCTCATGCAGTTTTTAATTCAATATGAGGGAACAAAAAAAAACATGTATCGATGTGGCCATGACGAGTGGTATCACAATATTTAAAATACTTCAGACCCACCGTGCTATTGGGAAGGTACAGCTCCCTTCTGCGATCCTGGCGACTGCGACAGGGGCATCTACGTGCGGAGTGACAATTGTGGAGACGGGGAATGTTGCGTGACGGGCCAAAAGATATATTGCTGTTCAGGTGGGTCGATTTTCCCAGTACAATATGATAATATTCACACCAGTGACACAAGAAGAATGGGAAAAATAATTAAAGTACATGGTATGTCTGACAGAGACAGAATGCGTGAAGTACATGTAAAACTGCCTGCGCAGTAAATCGAAGGAATAATCCAACAGCAGAAAAAGCCTTGTAGGGCAGATTTATAAGACAAAAATTAAAGTGGAGAGTTATCTGCTTGACTCCTATTGGATTCTATACTACCATGTTTTTTTTGTCTCGCAACAATGTCAAGCACCGCAAAGTATTACAGTGCTTGACATTGCAATCATTTTAATAGCTTAGTTGACAGCGTCATTTTCCTCATGCAGAGATCAACGAGTGCGAGACCAACAATGGCGGCTGTGAGCAGATCTGTACCAACACCGTCGAGAGTTTCGAGTGCTCCTGCAGGGACGGTTATGTCCTCGCGCCTGACGGCTTGTCCTGCACCGGTAAGAAAATATCATTGCTACAGGATAGGCAATGTTGATGCATTTTCTTTGTGCATTACAGAACTTCAATAATATGATGTTTTAACACCAAATACGTGTAGCATATCAATAGTAAATGAAAAGTCGTTTTGAAGCTAGAGTGGGTGGCCTTCTCCGTTTCAAAATGTCTTTTACGTTCTGGTCTGGTTCAAGACAAACAAAGAATGCAGAGTAAAAATGAATGAATATTAAGCATGACAGTAACCAAATCGTATCCATAGCTATAGGTTCGTGCGAGACATCGCATGTTTACAGCCACTGTAGGCAGCACTGTTGGCAGCGCATGTTTACAGCCACTGTAGGCTATAATTACAGTCCCCTTTTCCTCATGCAGACATAAACGAGTGTGAAACCAACAATGGCGGCTGTGAGCAGATCTGTACCAACACCATCGGAAGTTTCGAGTGCTCCTGCAGGGCCGGCTTTCTCCTCGACACGAATGGTTTCAACTGCTCAGGTAAGACTATTTTAAAACAAGATTAATATGATATACTACACAAATAATTTAGGAACACTGATATCTGATGGTACTTTATTTGTGTTTGTTGTCATGTCCTTACGTCAGGGCACAAACAATTTGGTCGTTGATTGATCGTACGGAAAATTAGGCTTATTATTAGCTACGAGACCAACATCAAGACGGACTCTGATCTGACTTGAATGTCTTCAGAAGTTGTGCGGGAAAGAGATTCAGTGATAGAATACAGTCAGATCTATATTTGCCTCCAACCCCTTTCGTCACCCTGTCATCCTTTAGTGTAGCTTGTACTTCAAACTGTCTACGACGAAAGGAAAAAAGGAATGACGATGTGCTCTTAGAAATAACGAGTGGTGTAACGCCTTTAAAACATTACAGCCGACCTGTGCTATTGGGAAGGTACAGCTCCCTTCTGCGACCCTGGAGACTGCGACAGGGGTATCTACGTGCGGAGTGACAATTGTGGAGACGGTGCCTGTTGCGTGACGGGCCACAAGATATATTGCTGCGATGGTGAGTCTGTTTACATTTCAATATTCACAGAAAAGTATCAAAACATTGGTTTGCAATGTCGACGGCTTTTGGTTAACTAGTCGGTGAATTGAATTAGAACGCCGCCCTGCTATTAAGTCCAATTTAATTACACGTATGTCTTTTTCAACACAACGCATGCAGGCGGGGACGGAGTGTCAACTGCGTCAATGTCGACGACTATCGGTAAGTTTTGTAACTTTATGACTAATTACGTGGATTGGGTCATAATGTAGCCCTAAAACTATGAAGTCAAAATTATCTGTCTTATTTAACACAACGCAGGAGGGAGTAGCTCTCCAACTGAGTCAAAGTCTACGGCTATTTGTTCTGCAACTTTAAGATAATTCCGTGAATTAGTTAGATCCCAGGCCTACTGTTAAATCCAAATCATCTATCTTTTTCTTCAACGCAGGAGATGGCGTAATGTCAACTGAGTCGATGTCGACAGCTATGGGTACGTGTTTCTTCTGAGACATTATTGATACTTACGTGATCTAAACTAGACAGCAGGTCTACTAAGTCTAAACAAGAAATAAGAGATTCCAAACGCCTTTTTTTTCAACACAACGCAGGAGGGGGCGGAGTGTCAACTGCGTCCATGTCGACAGCTATGGGTACGTTTTGTTCCGAGACTTTTTGACTAGGTCCGTGAAGTCGAACTCAGTTTAACACAGACCAGGCTAGGATTTTTTCGAATTTCTGTGACTTGACCAATTATGTGGATTGGTTTCGAATGCAGCCCTACTTAACTGTTGAATAGAGTCAATATTACCTTTCTTCAACGCAAAGCAGGAGGTAATCGATCTCCAACTGAGTCAATGTCGACGGCTATTTGTTCTGATAATTCCGTGAATTGAATTAAACCTCAGGCCTTCTATTGAATAAAAAATCCAAACCATCTATCTCTTTTTTGCAATGCAGGAGAGGGCGAAGTGTCTGATCCAATGTCGACAGCTATGGGTACCTTTTGTTCTCTGACTTTATGACTAATTCAGTGAATTGAAATAGAACGAAACCCTACTAAAAAAATTAACTATGTATTTGGCGCAGGATTTTTTTATAATGACCTTATGACTAATAACATGAAATGGTTTAGACTGCAGCCCTACAATTGCTTCTCTTTTTGTAAACACAGCGCAGGAGGGAGTAGATCTCAAACTGAGTTGACGGTTATTTGTCCTGCAACTTTATGCTAATTCAATGAATTGAATTAGACCGCAGCGCTACTATTAAATTCAAACCATCTATCTCTTGTTTTCAACACAGGAGGGGGAGGTATGACAACT